CCCCCCCCCCCCCCGGCAGACGTCCGGGAGGACCTGGACCTGATGCGGAGACGCATCGCCGACGAGACGCGGCTGGCGGGCCGGCACGGCACCGGGTCCCTGGCGCTGATGAGGGGCGTGCTGGTCGAGCTGTCGCGCAGGGGCATGCGCAACCGCCTGCTGCTCGTCTGCTGCGCCTTCACCCTGCAAAACATGTCCGGCGCCGCGGCCATCAACTACTACTCCCCCACGCTCTTCGCCTCGCTCGGCATCAAGGACGTCGCGCTGTACACCGGCATCTACGGGCTGGTCAAGGGTGAGAAGTCCGTGCACGACTCAATCCGTTTCCTGGGGCTAACAACTCTGACAAGCTGTCGCGTCCATCATCTTCTATGGCCTGCTCGTCGACGTCTGGGGCCGACGCAATCCAACAATAATCTCGTCTCTCATGTGCTCGGTCTGTCTCTGGATCGTCGGAACCTATGTCAAGATCGGCCACCCGGCGAGCGTGATTGCCGCTGGCGGGACGCTATCCGCCTCGACTGCCGCGGGCGGCAAGGCTGCCACTGCCATGATCATGATCTACTCCGTCTTGTAGGCAGTTTCATCACCCTGCAACGTTGGTCGTTTGCTCACAATGTCATAGCTGGTCATTCGGCCTCAACGGAATCCCGTGGATCGTCTCCGCGGAAATCTTCCCCGGTGCGGTGCGCAACTTCACGGGCACGTGGGCCGCCCTGGTACAATGGTAGGCAGCGGAAATCATCGCCCACGCAGCAAAGCTTGACCACGGAGACTAACGGGAGCGACAGGTTGACACAGTTCGCCATCACCAAGGCTCTCCCTTACATATTCCAGTCATTCGGCTACGGAACCTGGTATTTCTTTGCCTCGTGGATGCTCGTGGCCGTCGTTTGGGCCTACTTCTTCCTCCCCGAGACCAAGGGGCGCACGTTGGAAGACATGGATGTCATTTTGTAAGTGCCTTTATTTGACAATTTGGTTGTCATTGAGCTAACAATCTCCAGTGGCTACAAGTCAAATTTATCAACGAGGTCAATCGAATCGACGTGCGAGGATGTACATGCAGTGAGTGGGGAGAAGGTCTGAGTTGTTTTGCTTCAAGTCTAAAGAACAGCGAATAATGGATCCGCGCGTCTTGTCTATATAAACTACATAGCTTCCTTTTGCCCATCTGCTTCGTCTCCTCTCTAATTCTTGGCCATCTATAGTGATGATGTGTGTAGAGGCCAACGACAACTCCCGCCTCACTCTCATGCCGACCCAGCTTCACAGTTTCCCGACGCCGAATCGATGAACCTGTAAACTGTGAGGACAGCTTTGTGGTCAGAAGTCCACTCATTGTCCGCGTGTCTGGGCTGGGGAGCCGGCTTTCCCGCAACCAGTGCTGTCGAGTCCTCCACGGCGAGCTTTCGACCCTTGTGATAAACAAAGTCAATGCGGTCCAAGGGCTCTTTTCTGCCTTGGTTCTCAAGGTAGATCGGAGACCAGGTAATCCCAGGCTTAGAGACAGGACTCGGGTGGACAACCCGATACGAGTCTATCAAGCCGGAATCCGCAGGGAATTTTGACGTTGGCCACTCCGTATAGCCCCTGCCACAGTGCTGATCCTTTGTTGCATCAATCCAATCAAGATGTGAAGGCGCGTTAAAGTCGCCCGTCAAAAACATCGGAACATCGTCAGCATTAGCCAGACTGCCCTGCATGCTTGCCATGATGGCCATGATTTCTGGGGTTCGGCCTGATTGAGCCTCACGCCGCATGACCTGGTCGAAGCTCATGTGATCAAAGCAGAAGTCATACGGCCCATACGGATCGTAGCCCAAATGGCAATTCCAGAATATAATGTCGTTCGCCGTGCCATCGAGACTGATGCGAACAGCAACAGACTTGTTGGGGGCCTCGAGGACCTCTGCGATCGGGTAGCGAGTGATGATGGACACGGTGGGACCTTGCCAGGAGTACCAGCCAAGTGCACGAGCAAGGCGAGTTCCATGTCCGCCGCCGCTTTCCTGCATGCCGGCGATGTCAATGTTTGACTGCGCCAAGAAGCGAACCTGCTTTTCGTGGTGATTGTTCACCATCTGGCCGCCAACCCAGAGGTTGAAGCTCAAGACGCGTAACGTCTCAACCAATGGTTGTCGTTGCTTTCGAACAGGAATGTGAACCTGAAGCTTAGCAGACGCCTTGCCATTTGTGACGTGAACACGGATGGTGGTATCGTGGGCGTCGGCTGGTGGGACTCCGGTGATGATACCATCGTCATCGACCTTGGCCCAACAATCGCATTCTGGAGCAGAGAAGCGGGTATTCGGATCGCCGGCGCGGTTGACAAGGTTTCCGATGTTGGCAGTGAAGGAGTCTCCGCGACGAGCATTGTGGGTGGTGATTGAGCTCGTGAACAAGGCCAGATCGCTTGGACTGCCCAGGTTGACAACGAGTGGCTTCGCCAGCAAACGGTATCCGCCCTCAGCGAGTAGGTAGGCCTTGTACGTGCCGTTTCGGAGATTCTTTGTCAAGACGGAGACAGTTCCTTTAGTCGAAGGAGCCCAATCCCAGGCTAGCGAATCTTGCACATATTCGCCATGGTCCGGTCCACCGCCATAAGCATAGTAGATGCCGATCCAGTTATTGTCATTCGCGGAGAGAGAAGAAGTATAGTGGAATGTAAAGCTTCCGCTACCTTTCGAAGAATCGAGGGTGAGGGTCCCGGGGTATTTTTTCGCTTCTGTTTGGCGTTAGGGGTCACGCGATCGCTGGGCGATGAGAGTGACTGTTCGGCAAACTTGCCTGGCATGGTTGGTGGATTGAGCTTGACTGAGCACGCTCGGAGAATGAGAAAGCCTGGACAGTAATGACTTGCAGTTGATGAAGGAAATGAAATCGTCAGACACTTGGGCACGGAATGGGAGATGATGGACGCCGGCGTGCGGCACAGGCACGGGGTAGGTAATAAGGTAGGAGGGAGGAGGGAGGAAAGGGAGTTCCCTCGCAGGGCCCACGACTTTACGTCACTGGCCCCTGTAAGCTCCCCTGTAATCCCCACCTTTACGGGGGGCGCTTCACTTTAGTTGGTGGGCCCGCTCCAGGTCGGGCGCGGGGGTGTATCTCGATGGCACCTGAAGGAAGAGCGCTGCTTTTTGCACAGTCGATTTGCGAGGCACCACGCTGGAGGCTGTGTTGCGCTGGTTAATAGAGCTCCCGGCGCCCTTGAAGCTGATATTAATGGTAGGGATGATAGTGACGATGCAGTTGTCCAGTTGGAATCAGAATTTGAACTGAGCACTAGTTACGAATACGAGAAGCGGGCCATTCATCCACCCAGACGCCGAGACCCCGCCACAACCCAAGCCCTACCCTACACGCGCCCAAACATCTTGCACAACACAGCATCACCAATCGCCAGGATATAAAAGGCTTGGCTTAAGGTTTGGCCATGACCTCCATAGCGGCTGACCCTCAGTCCGTTGGCGAGAAGCCCGCCAAGATCGCCGTCCTCATCGACGCCGAGAACGCTTCCCCCAGCATGGCCAGCGCCCTGCTCGCCGAGATCGCCAAGTACGGCACGCCCTTCGTCAAGCGCGCCTACGGCGACTGGACCGGCAGCCTGCTCAACGGCTGGAAGGAGAGGCTTCTCGAGAACTCTATCCAGCCGATCCAGCAGTTCTCGTATACCCAGGGCAAGAACTCCAGCGACGCGGCCATGATCATCGACGCCATGGACCTGCTGTACACGCGGCGCTTCGACGCCTTCTGCCTCGTCACCAGCGATAGCGACTTTACCCGCCTCGCCTCGCGCATCCGCGAGTCTGGACTCGTCGTCTACGGGTTTGGCGAGCGCAAGACGCCCCAGCCGCTGGTCACCGCCTGCGACAAGTTCATCTACCTCGACAACCTGTCGCTGCCCGTCCACGTCGGCGGCGGCGCCTCGACGCTCAAGGATGCCACCGCCGCGACGAACAAGGATGGCGCCGCCGCGACGCAGAGAGACGTCGCCACCGCCGCAGCGCAGGAGGATGCCGTCGCGACGCAGCGCGTCCACGTCGCCTCGGAGGGCAGTGCCGTGACGCACAAGGACGCCGCTGCTGCTACTCATAGGGATGGCGCCGCAGCGCAGGGTGCTGCCGCGAAGCAGCCCATTCCCGCGCCGACCTTCATCAAGAGCGCGATCAAGGCCGTCTCCGACGACGACGGGTGGGTCAACGTGGCGCGTCTCGGAGGGCTCATCACCAAGTGGCAGCCGGACTTTGACCCGCGCAGCTTCGGCTTCGAGAAGCTCAGCCTGTTGCTCAACGAATACCCGTTTGTGGAAACCACGCAGCGTTTTCCCGCGCAAGGTAAGCCGCCCGTACTGTACGTGCGGGTCAGGGGGCGGGTGAACAAGTGAGTAGAAAAGAGATAAGAAAAATAAGAAAGATATAAAGGATATAAGAGATATAAAAAATATAAATGATATAAATGATATAAAAAAATATAAAAAATTAAAAAACTATAAAAACTATAAAAAAAAATAAAGAATATAAAGAATATAAAGAATATAAAGAATATAAAGAATATAAAGAAAATATAAAAAATATATAAAAAAGATAAAAGATAAAGTATCTATAGCTACTACTTCTTTCCTCTTTAGCTCTAATATAGTACTCTAAGGTAGGTGGGAGCTTTCCCCTATGATCTTATAACGTGAGACTTTTACTATATCTTGTAGGCATGGGCAGGGCAGCCTCGCTGTATATAACCCATGCTTGAGCGTTTACTATGAAAGCATGCTACTAGACGTTGCATCTTTCCTGTTCTTTTCTTCCCTTTCACCTACATCTTTTATTTCTGCCCTGCATCTGTTCCCATTGAAGCCTACTTACTAGAATCGCGTGTACCGGTCTTTCAGCTTGGATAGTTGATTCTTATTGAAAGGCCTACATGCTAAGCGACTGTATCGTCTTTCCAGCTAGATACTGTAACATTCTGCGCGACGGGCTCTACACTCTTGGGATCCGTTGGTAATCCCCTTTGTTGTACTTGTAAGCCTGGTCGGCCACGTCGAAGCCCCAGTCACCCTTGCCGTCAAAGTTCTTGTTGCAGACGCTCGTGTCCTTCGCCATGAGGGCGGTGCAGTAAGGGCTGGTTGAGTCTGTGTTAGCCGTCGCGAAAATCCCGGCGTTTGGAGACGGAGAACTGCTCACCCGAGCTTTCCCTTGTACTCGATCTTGTACCAGGTGCGGTCGGTGGCACCGGGGGTACCCTGTTTGGCGGGATCGTATGCCTTGATGTCGTACTTGGAAAGCAGCCCGTTCAGGGTGCCTCCCTGGGAGTTCTGGGAGGCGAGGCTGACCGGGAACAGGTAGGCGCTTGAAGAGTGGAGTGTTAGAAGTTGGCGCGGAGAAGCTCGCGACGGCATCATGTTACGCACTTGGTTCCGCCCTGCTCGGAGGACGCGAAGGGATACTCCTCCGGTGAGTCGAACGTGCCCCAGGTGTTGTGGGTAGGGGGCAGGAGCTTGTCGAGCTTGTACTTTGCCTTGCCTCTCTTGAACGGGGACTTGCAAACTCCGCTAGTTCTGCGATTGCGGTTGATGACCTTGCCAACGACGCGCTGCCTATCCCCAGGTTTAATTTGTCAGTAAGAGAAAGAGCAAGGCAGAGGGGCCAAGGGTCAGCCCGCGTCGGCTTACAAAACATCGGGAGCTTTCAGGCACAGGATGGCGTAGCAGTCGGCCTCGAAGGGCAGCATGTTCATCTTGGTGCCGTCCAGGTCCAGCTCGGCGATGATGGGGTTGGCGTTGGTACTGCCGGGAGGAGGGGGCTGACGAGCGACGAGCTCGGTGGTGTTGTCGTCCTTGGGGCCGAGGTCCAGCGCGCCAATGTCCACGGGACCTTCGAGGATGGGCGTGCCGACGGCGCCCTGCAGCCCGAGGGCGCAGAAGGCAAGCAACAGGGAAGCAGAAAGTTGCATCTTCAAGGAGAAACAAGGGTAACAGCGAGTGTGAGTTGCAGAAAGTGCTGGTGAAAAGACTGTTGTCTCTTCTTTTGTATCTGTGAGGCGACTGAAGTAACGGGGATTACCTCAAGGCTCAATCGTCCTTTTGTACTCTCAAATCCCAACAAGCGCCTGTTCACTGCCGTCTTCATCTTGTTGCATTTACCTTCACTTACCGAGATGTAGTCAGTTGTTCAGGGCTCTCTGCAACTGCCGTCCGGGCTATACCGCGCTTACTGACGATAAGCGCAAGGCCTTCGTCGGGGCAGGACGCATTGAAGCGAGTCATGATGCTTGAGGAAAGAAGTCGGAGTGGTGCAAGTAGCTGAGAGGATGGTCAAAGAATGCTGATGCTGTGATGGCTGAGATGGAATCAATATCTCGGTTCGTCAGGTATCGTTGGTAGACCGGGTTTAGCATCCCATCAATGGGGTCACTTATCCAGCGGGATTAGTATTACATTCCCGTATATGGTTATCTTGGCGTGCCACTGCTGGGTGGGAAGGCCATTCTAGTTCATGGCATGTTATAGTTATGTAGCATGGTTCGGCAGGTGTGCTCGCTCGATTTGCGTTAATTTTTGGAGCAGACTGCGCCCACCACTGTCCGACGAGGACTGGCCTTTGACATGACTAGCCGCCATGCCATGCATGCTCTGGAGGGCGCGGACGCCGTGCCTGTGCCCGTATGAGGAATAGGTACCAGCGAGATCCGGATGCTTGGAAAGGGTTCGTTATATTGCTTGATTGGTATCGGCGTACTAGGTAGTTTATTGTATTGCTCGGTCACCGAAATCCAGGCTCTGGGAATATTGGACGGGCTCCGGGGGAGGGGAGTGGTGGCTGCGTCATAAAAGCACCCCCTTCCAAAACAGGGAATACTTGTGTTTCAGATTATTAGAGTGCTAACTAAAATATCAACCAACTAAAAGAACTAAAAGGTGTCAAGTTTGGCGACAGCCGCCAACTGCCGGGCCAGAATCCACTTCTTCAGCAAGTAACTACAACGTGTACTTGTCAGGCCACTCGCGACTCAGCATCCTCACCATCTGCAACTTCTTCTTGGACACCACACTGCTGCTGCACGCTTCCCGTCTCTCACCTACACGCTAAAGCTCATCATGTCTGCCATTCTTCTATTCTGCACCGCCGAGGTCCCCGGAAGGGTACGGAATCCGATTCCCACGCTGCTCCGTTGCGCAAACGGAGAGCTAGCTGACATCTGCGCCCTTAGGTCATCGAGAAGCTCATGGCCGAGTGCGCCATCCCCGAAAACGCCGACAACATGTTCAGCCTCGTCCGCACGCCCGACCAGGCGTCCCTCGACGAGTGGGCGACCTCGCCGCCCATCGCCGACTTCGCCACCGGCTTCGCCTCTGCCCCCGACGCCCAGCTGCGCGCCCTCGTCGAGCCGCTCATCAAGCGGTCCACCGGCGGCGCCTCCACCAGCCTCGCCGGCGACTGGCTCGCCGTCCTCGACGACAAGTCCGAGGAGCAGGGCGCCGTGGTGCTGCACTACTCGTACGCGCTGGAGGACTGGGACGAGCAGCCGATCGTCGGGCCGGCCGAGGTGGTCGACGGGACCATCTGGTGGAAGTGGCGTGTGCCGTTCAAGGCGGCCTGGACGCTGTGGAACGCGGTGGACAGCTGCGGGTATGACGGCATCGAGCTGTACTCGCGCGAGGAGTATCGCGATGCGGAGGGCGTGCTGCAGACGGAGATCCCGGACAAGATCCTGGCGGGCGAGATGGCGGACCCGAAGCAGGACGAGGACGAGGACGAGGAGGACGAGTAGAACATGAACGCTATAGATTTGACTAGATAAAATAGACGAGGTGCGCCGTGAGGCGTACGAAACTTGCTCTGCATGTCATTGTTTGTATTATTTTACATCTTCACAGTATCCCAAGCAGCTATCGGCTTGTAGTATAAGCGTCTTTGGCCGGGCTTTCCAGAAGCCCAACTAGGTGTGGAATATCCCCCGCACTGTTGCTAATATTACCCACTTACTACAACGTCATTTTTCTAATTTCCACGAAGCTTATTTCTTTTCAACCTTTAAAGCAAGGAACAGTACTTCCAATGCTAATCCGCATCTAACCTTTCGTGTATGCGGCCGCCCACAACTGCCGTGACGCATCGCCGCTTGTGCTGATGCAGCCTGTAGAGTGTTCATCTAATTTCCCACAGCCATGCCTTGCAAACTCACAAGGCAAGATACACTACTGCATGTATTCATGTGACTTATCTTCTTCCACTCGACAGAGCCGCCCGCAATTGCCGTGCAGTCGGCAAACAAAATACCCGCCAAGCTACCCGCCGGGCGGGCTCGGCAATGCCACCTTGTTGTTATAGTGGGCATGATGGGTTCCCACCGAGCCCAGGGCGCTTTCCACAGGGCAGGGCATGATCCCTCGTCTTATGATCTTGATTAACTGGTATACTTGGATACATAGCACAAGGTGCGCGTGCAATTTCCGACAAGTGCTGCTCAAAGGGCATCACTTCCGTGGTCTGTCGTGGCTCGCGACATCATGTAGATGGCGTGGTCGGCCGTACACCAGGTCTATAGCACATGGGCATATGCTCTCTCGGAATACGGATCGCTTCACCTTTCAACCTACTGACATGAATCTCATGACTCGCGAAGCAGCAAGGTATTCACTCTTTCAAGATGCCTCCTGCGTAGGACTACGGATAGCATCTCCTACAGGATGTATATATATCTATAAAGCACCCAAGACGGCTTGGTGATGGTCGGGTCAGCGAATAAAGCCCAGGCAACCAAACTACTATACCCCTCTCGTTTCAATTTGCCAAAGGCTTCCAACCTTCTTTACCATGCACGTGAAATACCTCCACGCGCTCGTGCGCACCCTGCTCTGCGTTCAGCACGTCACCGCTCGCGCTGTTGACAACGGCGACTCCTGCGCCGACGTCGCCCGTGGCAAGACTTACTACACGCCCACCGCAAGCTGCTCCAGTCTAACGAAGCGTGAGGGAGAAAGTGAGTCGTTCCATCCTACCGTCCACCCGCGTGTCATCATCGACTAACCAAGACATCACCAGCTGACAATGATGAGGACTGCGCCGAGGTGCTGGAGGAGCTGAGGGCGTCCGACTACGGCATCGAGCGGACTGACTACCACAGCTTGAAGAGCAAGAACTACAGCGGCCTCGACTGCAAAGCGCTTCTCGCCATCCTCATCTTGGCCGTCCCGTCCAAGTCGCATCTCGGCCGTCGCGACGGAGGTACGTGTGACTGTCCACGGATGTTGTTGTCGCCACGTACGCTAATCTCCCGTGTCAACAGGCGACTGCGACAAGGCCCGCGAAATCATCCTCGGCGCCGGCCGCCAGCTAGCCGAAATCTTCTGGGTGCGCATCAACAACATCGACGATGAGAACCCCGGCGACCTCTACGGCACCATCCAGGCGACCGACTCCATCGGCAAGCAGGACATCTACAACCGCGAGCGCAGCGACTACGAGTCCATCACGCCCGGTCAGATCGCTCACCTGACCGGCCCGGCCCAGCGCTCCATCTCCGCCGAGAGCGGCTTCGTCCTCGAGTTCAAGCTCACCGACAAGGACGCCGACGCCTCGCCCGACGACGAGATCAGCTTCGGCGAGTTCGTCGACAAGGGCGACGTGCTGGACCAGCTGCAGAACAAGACCGTCACCGGCGCCTACGGCTCGGCCACGGCCAACTACGTCGTCATGGGCAACGCCGCGCAGGCGGACATTGACGTCATCCTGATCAACGGCGATGATGAGAACCCGGCCGACGTGTACGGCAAGGTCATCGCGACGACCAAGTACGGCAAGCGCGACTTGTTCAACAAGGACTCCAAGTCGTACGTGGAGCTCAAACCGGGGGACAAGGTGCCTCTGGAGCGCAAGGTGATGGCCGTGGCCATGGACGACAAGCTCGTGACGGACGTGGATCTCTGGGATCACGACGCGGACCTCTCGCCCAACGACTCCATCGCGGGCGCCATCGTCACCTGGGTCCCGGAGCCGGGCACGTCGATGAAGCAGGGCATCCGGGGCAGATATGGCGAGGCAGAGATCAGAGTCACCTGGTCTTAGTCGTGTTTTGAACGCAGTTGGAGAAGGATGCTGGCAGGCGGGGGAGCGGCATCGATGCGACGGGCAGCAGAAGAACTGTTGACTAGCCAACGGGCACTCGAGATACTCGCGCAACAACTCCGTCGGCAAGTTCATAGACAATAAAACTTGAGATGTGAAATCTTGTGCACTTATTCTTGGGCGTGATGAATAATTGCAGGCACAGTCGATGCGGCCCTGTAGGCCAAGCCAAGCAACCCATGGTCGAGGGGCTCGTTGAGGATAAGAGGTCGAGATGGCATTGTGTACGGAGCAGAGCGAAGGGCACGGTGAGAGCGACGATGCTTTGATGACGAAGCAAGGAAGCCAGTATCGAAGGCAATTCGGTACTGTGTATGGTGATGAAGGAGGGACGACATCCATAGCTAACTAGCCAGTGTTAGTTTGCTGAAGTGGCAGTTCTGTACAATGAGGGCACGTGAAGCAACAGTCAACCACTCCAACACTCTACCAAGTCTCGCATCGTCCGTTTTGTCGCATCATGATGTAGTCTGGCGCCAATTCCTCATCGAGTCCCTTTTTAGCAAAGACATGCACCGTTGGATAGCGCATGCTCTTAACCACTTGCAGATCCTGGCTCTCACAAAGTTCAACGGCAAACACGCCACTCAGCGACCGGTGGCCACTAGTCAGCGCCCATCAGCGTGAATAAATTTTAAAGGTCAGGCATAAACTCGGGCAATTCCATCCATCCATCCGTGAAGCCATGATTTCATCCAGACTTTATCTCCAAAGTCGCGGCATCATTGTCCGCTCACCACCTCTCCTCACCCTCCGTCACACCACAGCATCACGCTTCCTCTCCGCCTCATCCATGGCCGCCAAAGCGATCCCCGTCATCGTCTGCGGCCGGCGAGAGGCCATCGGCGAAGCCGTCGCCGCCGGACTCCAGCCCGAATATGAACGTACGTGCCCCCTTTTCCTTCCCCATTGCCCGCCCGCCTGCTAACCCGGGCCAGTGGTTCACTTTGTCAAGACCCCCGAGGCCGGCGTCGCCGACCTTCCGCTCGTCCTCGCCGGCCGCGTCCCGACGAGCACGGCTCCCAGCAGCGTCGGCACGGGAAACGTTGCCCGCGGCGCCGCGGCGGTCATTCTCGGCGGCGGCTACGGCGACGAGGACTACGCGGTGATGCGCAAGGCCGTGGATGCGGCCGCGTTGAAGCGACGCACGGTCTGGCTGCGCAACAACCTGAGCGTCGCTATGCCGCCGCCGGGGCCGGAGTACGGCAAGGCGGTGGTGGTCAGGGTCAAGGACTTGCTGGCGAGGCTGGGCGGCGAGGGGAGGCTGGACGGCGAGGATGGTGGTGCGTACTGGTATTAGCCGTGGAGTTGGCGAGCGAGGTCGTTCGCGCACCCGCTGCAAAGGAGATGAAATTCTAAAAAAAAAAAAGAAGAACATGCAGCTACAAAGTAGTTGTTAGGGATGGGTGATTAAGGCGCCCCTCTCCGGTGTATTCATGTAACCCTGTTTCAATAATTACACCTCCACGTGCAAGTTTGCGAACAACGAGCTTTCCATACAAAGTAAACATTCTGCTTTTCTTTTCACGTTAAGAAAAAGAATAAGAAAACAAAGCGTTAGAACCACAGACTCGGATTCCATCCCTGAATCCATCTTCAATTTGCCTGCTTCCCGTGACCGCAAGGCTCTCAGTCTACATGAGCGTCCTCTTCTGCCCCCTTGGCATTATTGCACGTCATTTTTCGCTCCATCCGACATGGCTGGTAGATCTCACGACGACGAATCCTTCTCCCGCTCTGCGGCGATCTGATAAAACAGACTGCCATCATACAACCGCCGGACGTCTTCCTTCCTCAGCCGTCCGCCCGCCGGCCAGAGCATGAGATACAAGGCAGTCCCTGCCCGTCGTCAGCAACAATGCCATCTCGTAAGAGCGATCAATTTCTTTCATGCTCAGGAGAGACGAGAGCGGCTCCTGGGTACATCACTCACATTCGAATGCTGCAGCGCCCCATCCAACCGGATCCGACACCAGCCGCTGCCCGCTCAGCATCCTCCTCACCTCCCCGGCCGTCAGGCTCTCCTTCTCGGCCGCGTTCTTGGCGAAGATGTCCTCGAACTTTTGCGGGCTGAAGCGGCCCTCGGTGTCGTACGCGTCGCTGTCGCTGCCGTGCTTGGCCTTGTGGATGCGCGCCAGGTAGATGCGGAGAAGGGGGTCTGGGAGGAGCCTTTCCACCGTCGCGTAGGAAAGGTTGAGGTGGATGATGAAGGCGGAAAGCGCGGAGAATATGACGTTGAAGCCGAGTCTGCGGAAGCCGACGTAGGTATCCACGGGCCAGATGACTCCGTCCCTGTCCTACGCAGTGTAAGTGCATGGCAGCTTGATGGAGAGATACTTGGCCTACCCGGTCGAAGAACTCGCAATGCTGCTGTAGGACCTGCAACACGAACATGTCAGCGTAAATTACACCTTGAAACAATATGCAGTGCACACCGTTTGGTGCTTGTGGTGCTCGCTCCAGCCGTCCACGGCCGTGCCGTCGGGATGCTCGTGCGAAGCGGCAATGTTGGCTCTAGCCGTTCCTATGTTGCCCATTGTCATTACCATTTATGCATCTGAAGGGGAAAATTATCCTGTCACTTACCGGCCTGTGCAAGCTTTTCGTCATCTTCGGGCTGTATAAAGGGCCGTCGCTGGACAGTCACCGGCACGGAGCCAAGCGCCGTCACGATGTCCTCGGAGTCTCCATCCTCACAAGGGCTCCCATCTCTCTGTGTTTCCTTCCGGGAAGGCATGGCGCAGTTTGGTCGGGTTCGGTGAATATGCAGGACAGTTGTAGGATCTAGAGAAGCGCGGCGGGTTGACTCAATAAATATGTGCGGCGGAATGGCATGCCCTGACCACGGCTTCAACGGGTAGATCTGCCCGGCATCACATCGCATCACGGACTGGAAGAGTGACCAGTTGAAATTGTACGATTAGAGTGTATTACTGGACGGATAATGAAAGTCAGGCCATTCGAGGCCAAAGAAATCATATATTCCGAAGATCTCCAATAAAGATGCACAGAGGATGCAAGATAACGTACAGTGACGTACTCAACACGCTGTTTCGTGCCCGTTGTTGTGCAGTAGGATATGAATAGCATTTTCATAGTGCCGTGTCCACAAGATCATTTCCTCATAGCTATGAGCGCCTTTTGCGGTCGCTCAGGAAGCCATTAATTTTTCTTGGTCAAAAACATTAGGGTTCTCCTTCCTCGCTGAGTTATACCAATTCCAGGATTCACTGTATCAAATTTACCAGGCTGTACCCGTCGCATATCCAGGTTCCATGCTACCCCCCTGTACCATACGGACAGCAAGATGCGCTTCACACACTAGGCGAAAATTTCTTGATGAATGTGAAAACCGTTGCACCGAGAATTTTTTTTTGAGGGTTTTTTTTTTTTTTTTTTTTTTTTTTTTTTTTTTGTCACGCTCGTGTCACGTTATCTATGTAGAGAACTTCAGCTGCGTAGACGACGGCATGGCCGCTGCAATGCTCGCAGCCAAAAGCCTCGCAGCAATATATTTGTCTGCCTGTGCATGACGTCAAGTTCAGCTGCCATTGACTTTAATTAAATGCAACAAAGCTGCAGATCTGAAAGGAGACAAGTGGCAGAAAAAAATTCTCCTTCGCCCATTGTCCATGGGGCAACCGTTATTAGCTTGTGCATTGTACATAAATGACCGAATGAATCATATCTTACCCTACAGTCGCTTCATGGACAAGGACTACAGTGCCTGACCCTTGCTCGGTGTAGAATCAACCAATCAGTTAACAAGCTGTGCGAGACCGCATCTGGCCGGAACTGTCACCTATAATGCGCATAAAATAATAGGCGGGAGTGCTGCAAGCCATAATACATGCCACGTTGCGTGGGAGCCTGACTGGTTGCTTACGCGACGTGGGGGACAACACCGACGACAGAGAATGGCGAAGAAACTGCGAGACGAGCTGGAAGAGCAAATGGTGAAGCAAATTCGTGCATCGGAGGTGATGACGTGCCTCAAACCAATTCTTAACCAACCACTCCGTAGCATTGGCCGACAACAAGTCACCTGGGCCGTGATCCGGCGGCGTCATCTCCGCGGGTGAGATGATGCGACGAGGGCGGCAACACCTCGCTTGTTTCGCAGACTTGCTGTCGCAACAGGCGTCACTTTTGCGAGGAGCCAATGCCAATTCCGATAATACTAGGGGGTCAAAATGCCCATAGCCAGTCAAATCACCGCCCTGAGTGGCATCCATCAGCTTCGTCTCTATCCGGTCCTCGCCGTGCCACGCTGGCGCCGGCAGAGCACCACCATTGGCCAATGCCGGGTAGCGTTTCAGGGCGGTCCTTGGCCGGTGCTCGTCAGCTCTCTCAGGCATGCGGATATACGCCAAGGCCCAAAAGATGGTGCCAGCGGTCTCCTGGCATAGCCTCGTGAACACCAGCTTCGCCAATGAACGCTGGGTGCGTGCCAGAAGCCGACTTCGCTTCTCATTGAGTTGTTATCGTGTTATGCCCTCCTTGGGTCTTTTTTTTTTTCCTAAGCAGTGAGACAGAAAATTCTACTCGGTCGCTTTCTGCGTGTCTCCATATCGGCTTTATGCTCGGCTTACTGTGCCCTTGCAAAACCTCGATGCGGTGCGACACACACACGCACACACAGAACCCACAGCCTTCTGGAAGCTGTTTTACCAAGTTCAATTCAGATATGCAGGAGCATCCTCCATCAGCTGCGGCTGCACCCTCCCTGCGTCAACCCGGCCTGCCTCCATCCTGGGTATTGTTCCTGCGCCGGACTTGCCTGCGGGCTCGTATGTAGTAAGGGACGACGAGGAAATGTCGCCGAGGAGGGTGTCCGGAAAAACTTATCGCGAGGCGTACTCTTTCCAATTGAGCAACTAGTTAGTTATGACGACGAACACCAAAATATGCCCTAAATCAGCCCCCCGGGCGATCGACGCTGCTCCTTTCCGCTTTCTGACCAAGTCCGGATTTTCCATGCGAGGCTGCGCAGCGCGCCAACCTCCACCCCGCCAGCTGAACCCCAATTTCGTCGTCTGTTTTGAGAGCCAAGGCAACGGCACTGACGCTATTTTCTCTCCGTCCCCGGTATACACTCGACGAGCAAAGTACGATTCTCCCTCCCAATTGGCCCCCGAACCCTTCAGCGCTAGGGCGAGGCTGGCAGCTTACACGGCTAGGCAACAATTGTGCCTGCCTTGTTCAATTGCCCAGCTAGGTCGAAGACAGAGTTCCATTGGCTCGTATGCCAAATGACTCCCTTCCCAGGGACCCGGGCTCGCCGGGTCCCCCTCCACCAGCGAGGCGATGACTCCCCTCTGCCCGTTTCTGGGTCTCGGAACGGCCACATTTGCGTACAAGGGAGGGAGCTTGGCTCGTCAACGGCGTCGCGTGGTAAGCCTACGCCGAAACGCCCGACCTTGCCCCAATACGGCCTCGTTCTGCAATCATGGCTGTGCTCGACGGTAGATGGTGTCATAAGGCTGGACGGCCAGGGCGAGTCCGACAGAGCGGCAAGGCCTCACGGGTCTATAAAGCAGTGCCGGATCCCCGAGGGCTTTGCGTTCTGATTCCTCATAAACACAAAGACAAAGAGATCACAACATCGACTTGAGCAACACCAACAGCAACGGCAACAGCTGCAACATCAACAAGCAACCTTCCACCACACTGCATACGCCGACAATGGCTACCCCCAACATCCCTCGTGACGAGACCAACAAGACTCTCGTCACCGCAGACGACCAGCACCTCCATCATGCCAAGGACCTCCTTGTCACGCCCTCCAAGGCGTCTACTGGAGTGAGCTCCGGCACCGTCAGCGCTGAGGAGCCCTCCACGCCGGTGGAATCCTCCGCTGACCACCACCTCCCCACGCGCATGGCCAAGTTCATGGCCACCGAGGGCCCCGATGGGCAGCCGCCCTGGGGAGTCAAGAACTTTGCCGCGATGACTGAGGGCCCCGACGGCCAACCGCCCTGGGGCACCAAAGGTTTTGCCGTCGGCGCGCCGATGGGCGACGGCAGCTCTGGATGGCCTCAAGGTGACGGCCCGAAGAAGGAGGGCACCGTCTCGGCTCTCGGTGGCGGCAGCTCTGGCTGGCCTCAAGGTGACGGTCCGAAGCAGGAGGGCACCGTCTCGGCTCTCGGTGACGGCAGCTCTGGCTGGCCTCAAGGTGACGGTCCGAAGAAGGAGGGCACTTTCTCAGCGGCGGCCGGTGACGGCAGCTCTGGCTGGCCTCAAGGTGACGGCCCGAAGAAGAGCGGCACCGTCTCGGCTCTCGGTGACGGCAGCTCTGGATGGCCGCAAGATGACAGCCCGAAGAACGGCACTGTATCCGCAGCCGGCGGCGACGGCAATTCCGGCTGGCCCCAGGACGACAGCCCGAAAGAGAGCGCCGTCCGTAGGGAACGCGCGCCCGGCACTGTCGGCCCCGAAGGACAGCCTCCCTGGGGCGTCAAGAGCCTCGCTGCTGGTGGCGACGCCGGTCCCGACGGCCAACCCCCCTGGGGCGTCAAGAACCTCGCCGCCAAGGCCGCTGCCGGCCCGGACGGCCAGCCGCCCTGGGGCATCAAGAACCTGGCCGCCGCCGCCAACGGTGATGCCGCGCCGCGCAAGGACGCTTAGGGACTCGCGGCTGGGAACAAGACACGAGGGGGCGGCGACGCAGCGGGTTCTGCGTCGTGGCTCCCGCGCTGGCTGCGCTCAGCCTACAAGTATCCTCGCCGGGGCGAGTAGAGCGCACCGTGATTGATGTATGGATATGAGCGATGGATATGATTAGAACTGGGATTCGCAAGAACAGGATTGTCATTGTTTGATTGTCTATATTTGGATCTGCCCGATTTTTATACTCTCCTCGAATTTTATACTATAGCTTCTGTTTGAGTTTTGAATCTTCAGAAATTCTTGAGTTGGGTGTGCTTATTAATGAAGTAATCTTTTTCTGCAAGCTACTTGACCATCTCAGTTGTGATAGTTGTCTTTGAGTCTTGAACGGAAGAGCGATGGACATGCAGCGAGGTCGTGTTGCGCCATCGCTGCCCTCACCGCTGTGAAAAAAATTCATTCCAAAAAATCAGCGACTAGCTTTACTTTCTGACATTTATGCTAATTTTCCGCTTTCGTTATACCACTATAGCGTGCTGCATGTTATGCCTGTAACCCCCCGCCACGACAAAGCCATCTCGCTCCAGCTTCACCGTGGAGCCAATTTTTCTCTGCACCAACCATCAAGGTCCTCCAAACAGCGCCACGCGCTTGGCAGACGAGACGAGACGACGAGCAGAAAAAAGAGCAGAACAGCAAACGGCCGGGTCAATCCTCTACCTGCTCTCCTCCTAATTACTGCCATGGTGCAGCGCGACAATCTACTGCCAGTGGCCTTTGGCGGCGTGCTCATTTCCCTCGTCATGATGTTCGCAATGCCCTTCAACCTGCTCGTCGTCGGAGCACTGGCGACCTTCCTCCTCGGCATATTTGGCAGTTACTACGGTGCCGGCGATGCCATGGGTCGCATCAAATCGGCCGTCGCGTCGACCGAGATTTTTGCTGAGCAGATCCCGGTGCGTCCCCAAGGTAGCCCTCATCTTGTCTCATCCGCGCTAACCAACCACGCGAGCAGTCTCAGACGACTCACGACTCCGAGGACGCCATTGACCTGCTCGAGAGCTTCCGCCGCGCCCAGGAACCCGTCAAAGGCTCGCGCCACGAGGCCATGAAGGTGCGGCTGCTGCAGTCGCTGCAGCGCGACCGCAACTGGTCGTCGGCGCATCCGCGACACCGCCTCCTCGACGCGCTCTACGGCTTCCAGAGCTACTACGAGCGGCAGCAGGTCGAGCTGGAGCGCTTCCGCGGCCTCTACAAGCACTTGGGCCGAAAACACAAAACAGTAAGTCCCTTTCTGTTCCTTTTTCTCCCTCCCCTCCCAAACCCACCCGCTGACAAGTCGTTCGCAGCTGCTGGACCTCCACATCCAGTACTCAACCAAGTTTGACCGCGTTGACGAGCACCTCGCCCTCAACCAGCGACTCTGCGACACCATCGTCCAGAGCGCGCTGGCTTACTACCAGGTCCCGCCGCAGGAGCTCAAGAAGCACGCCGCCGAGATGCTCGCCGCCGGCAAGCGCGCCGACCGCACGTCCGTGTCGCAGGCGCTCAAGCACTACGTGCGCGACTGGTCGCCGTCGGGCGCCAACGAGTGCGAGGAGACCTTCCCCGCGCTCCTCGGCACCCTCGAGACGCTCTTCCCGGAGCGCGCGGAGCTCGCCGCCCCGCTGCGCGTGCTCCTCCCCGGATCGGGGCTGAACCGCCTCGCGCACGAGGTCGCCCGCCTCGGCGGCTTCCAGGTCACCGCCAACGAGTGGTCCGCGTTCATGAACGTCGCGTACCGCTTCCTTGAGACGTTCCCAGACGCCAACGCCTCCGTGTGTCACCCGTTTGCCGACACGTGGTCACACCACATCACCGAGGGAGACATGCTGCGCCCCGTGCGCTTCCCCGAGGTCAGCCTGGACCGCGGCGGCGACTCGGTGCTGCTTGTCGAGGGCGACTTCACCACCGTCTTCAACCACGAGCTGGGGTCGTACGATGTTCTGCTGACGTACTTCTTCATCGACACGGCGCGCAACCTGATGAGCTACTTCGACACCATCGAGAAGCTGCTCCGGCCCGGCGGCTACTGGATCAACCTCGGGCCGCTGCTGTACGGCACCGGCCCGCTGGTGCAGCTCTCGCTGGAGGAGATCATCTCCATCACGGAGACGATGGGCTTCGACTACGTGGAGACGGACGAGAAGTACGGCAGCTTGACCATCCCCGGGCGCACGGTCCGTGGCATGCGCGCCGTGTACAGCTTCGACGACAAGGCGCTGACCACCAGTGCGTACAAGGCGCAGTTCTGGGTAGCCCGAAAGCAATAGACAAAACCTGCATAAAAATTAAATAATAGACTCATTCATATTCGCTGCATGCTTGCTCCCGCCTCCAAATGCTACTGCGCCTCGACGCCCGCGTCGCCCACCGGCACGATGACCGTGTAACTCCCGCCGCCGTCCTTCCGCTGCACGCCCGTCGTCAGCAGCAGCGGCGTCATCCGCCCATCCCTCGAGAACAGCAGCTGCGGCCTCTCCCGGCGAAACAAGCGCACCTCCCCACCATCCTCGTACCTCACCGTCGTGTCGAACGCGAGCGAGCGCATCCCCAGCATCCACGGGCCCGCGTAGTCCCGCGCGTACGCGTGCCGCCCGACCAGCGGCCCGTCGCCGAACCCGCCGCCCGGCTCCAGCGAGTGCGTCAGCATGTGCCAGTGGCCGCGCGCGTCGCGAAACACAAACGGGTCCTCGGCGGCCTGCGGGAACACCGGGCCGGGTTGGATTTTGGCGTACGGGCCAAGGTGGCCGCGCGAGGAAACGGCGATGTTGATCATCTCGGCGCCGAGGCAGTCCTGCGGACACCCGCGGTACGCCAGCAGCACCGCGGCGGTCGCGTTGCCATCCGAGCGCAGCGGGAACGCCGAGGGATTCGTCACGTCCGCGTCCCAGTCCGCGCTGCTGTCCTTGCCCCTGAATACCTGCCCGGCATCCGTCCACGCCCGCAGATCCCTGCTTACCTTTACCGATATGCCGCTCTCGCCGTTGTTCGCGTTCCCCGGGCCGCACGCGAACCTCTTCGATGCGCACTCACCCGCCACGTCCGTCGGGCAGCCGATGTGGTACATCAAATACGACTCGTCCGCCGGGCTGTACACCACCGTCGGGTTGTGCGCAAATGTGCCCGCCACCTCCTCCGCGAAGACGTACGGCCCGGCGGCGCCCGCGCGCGACTCGGCGCGCACGATGCGCGAGTACGGCGCCCAGTAGTCCAGCCCGCAGCCGTGCGCGAACTCGGAGACGAAGAGGTGGTGCAGCCCGGCGTCTACGGGGTCCGGCACGATGCTGGCGCCCCACGAGGAGACGCCCGCGCGGTCGTAGCCGGAGCGCCGCGAGCGGATAGGGCGCAGGTCGAGCACGCCGCAGTCGGCGCCGGTCCAGCCGGGGTCGCACGCGCACGTGCCGGCGCGGCAGAGGCCGTTGAGGCTGCAGTCCTCGTCGGTGGCGCAGCGGTAGGGCAGCTCGCTAGTCGCAGACGCGATGGCGAGGAGATGTGGGAGTGCCCGGCGGGCCGTCTCGAGCAGGCCCTTCATCGTGTACGACTGGTGTGCCGCTTCGTAGTCTTGTACGAGCTTGGCGACGGCGTGGGCGATGCTGGTGAGCATGGTGGAAGAGTACGCCCGTTTCGTTGAATGCCGGGAAGACGATGGTTCTTTATTGTACCGGGCCGCCCGTGGTTACATTTAAGATATGTGTGCATTCGTCCATGTCTAGGATGTCTGTACCTCCGCATGTACAGAGTAATAGCCGACGGGAAATTCTCTCCACCGCAGACCCGTAGCGTGTATGCGGGGGATCTACGTCAAAACAAAAGACCTGGTCTACTGCAGCAAAGCAGCTCCACATACGCCTAGGATGAGAAGGAGCCATAGCTATTCTATTTTCCTCTTCTTCTCTTTCTGAGAAGGTCGCCCGCAGGAACTTGTTACGTCCATCCGCTCGAGCGACCTGCCTCTATCGTCTATTCGGCAAGGCGGTGCTTGGACTCCATTGCCATCGTTCAGTTCTCTCGGTACTGCAGGACATGTCGAACCACACAGGTCGTGCATGGCCAGCGGCGCTATAAAGTGCCGGTCCCTGGCGAGGGCATGTATGTACAGCGTGTACTTCCCCGGACCAGGTACCCAGCGAGACCGCCAGCGATCTGCAACCAACGTTACGTCCAGAACACGACTAGGAAGAGCGAGGTACTGATCACCAAGGAGGTGATGGGTGAATAACTAGAGAGTTATTCGAGATGCCAGTCTCCTGATACCCCGCGTCGAACAAGTATGGCTTGAGAAAAGAGCGTATTCCTGCTTCCACATTTTCTGGCTTCCATGCCCGATATACGGCGGGCACGATTCGACACACGACCAAAACACTTGCACCCATGACCATCCGGATCAACACGACAGTGTACTCAAGCAAGCATTAATATGCTGCTTCAAACCATGTACAGCCCGAAGGTCAGTTGATTCGTGCACATGGAAGGTGCCCTAATCATAAGCGGTTCGGGGTAGCCCTGTCACCTACAAGTTACAGCGGACCCCGTTATTTCGGAGCGGCCCGGCGACGCTAATAGTTTCGGCGCCAGGCAGTCGCTAGAGTTTGTAGGCGAGCATCTTTGTGTATGTATGTATGTATGTTTCATAAAAGTATTTCACCGTTGTGCACTGTAAAAGAATATCTGTCATATTTCTGGGTTATTCTTTCCGAGGATTGGCAATGATAGGATCTTTGGGGTTACTTGCACAACGACAAGGAGGATTGACCATCCATCAGTCGCGCCGCCACCCCCCCGAGACGGTTTGCCCGGGCACAGCCGCGCACCCAAATTCATTCACCTCCAGAATATTGGGGTCAAGATCCTCATCTTCCTCCCAAAATGCGTCATCTCCATACCGTTCCTCCAGACACCTTTTCGCTTCCTCGCGCATCCCATCCATCTCGTCAACTCCATCAAGACAGCCCCTCTTGCCTACGGCCTCTAACAGTTTGAGCAGGTTGCGCGCATGCTCAACCAGCATGCTTGCTCGGTGAAGCCCGGTAACCTCGAGCGACTCGCGTATGTGCTTGCTGAATTTCATCATTAGCGCGACGGAAATGGTGGCGAGCATCCAGCTGCCTTGGCGCAGGTATCAACGCACACCGCAGCTTCGAATTTGCCCTGTGCTAAGCAGCAAACCCCCATCCTATACATGCATCCGCCGTTAAAAGGATGGAGACGAGCTTGATCACCTTTCAACCTCGTATTCTGGGCCTTGATTTAGAGAGTTTGGGCTGCTTCCCAGTTCTCCTGGCATCGCCAAAGAGTCGCCATGACAAAATATGCGCTAACATTAAAGCGTCAGCCGTCAATGTATTGCTCAGCATGGTGGAGTCCTTACTATGCTCGCATGGCCCAATTTGAGGGCTCCTCGCTCTCGAGTCTGGAAACTGTAACGTCAAGCAGATTCGCAGCACCGTCAAAATCGTCAAGATACACCATGCTCGCGCAGTGTTCTTCAAAATGAAGGCGGGGCATTCTCGCGTCTCACTTCCGTCCCTGACCGAAGCTGGCCACCAGTCTTGTGATGTCCGGAACCATTCAAGCGCCTGCTTGTGGTCATTGGCTGTGTTAAAGCAGTATCCGATGTTGTTGGAAATATAGTAAAGAAGTAAATAAGTAGGAGATATAAAGAGTAAGAAAGGTCTAAAGACTAGATAAAGGAAGAAATTATATTATATCTAGATTAGGATAAGGTAGAAGAAGACTAGATTAAAATAATAGTAGTAGCTAAGATCTAAGTGAGTCCTTTTTCTAATAGACGAGGCATAGGTGATATCTAGGAGGCTACAGTAGTGGACTGTGTGGTAGAAGAGGCGCTATATTTAGGCGATTAAGCCACTAAAATTTAATCACTGACGACTGTGAAGGGGGGGCGCGGGAAAGTTAGTTAGCGGGCGCGAATGTAGGGGCCGCCAAAATAGGGTAGTGGAGCTTTATTAGGGGCGCGTTGTGGGGGAAAGTGACGGGAACCTGCATCCTGCATCGACCAGCCGGCGGACTGTTGGTGCGTGCATCTGGACGAGGCTGACGCAAACTGCGGCAAAAACGGAAGCACAATGCCGGGAATAGGTATGCACACAGGGAGAAGCGGAGAGAAGCGAAACTGACGGTGCATTAGTGAGCGTTACGACGGCAACGGGCCGTAAAGGGGCTCGCGCAGACGCTAACGGCGACCACGATGTGAACAACGATGTGACAGGAGGGACAGAAGGTAGAGGCGCGAAAGAGCTCGACTTACAGCGGGTGATGGCGATTGTCGAGTGGAGGTTCAGCAAGTTGTAAAGGTAGGAGGAAAAGGACGACGAGCCACGACAGTAACGGGGGCTGGGCGGGGGCTGGCTGCGGCGAGGTCCCTAGAAGAGAAGAAGGGGCTTAGGGCTGGGGTAGAGAATGGCGTGCGGTTGGAAAAGGCAGATGATTTGGATGAGTAAAGTAAGATGGAGATGAATGGCGACGAGCTGCTGATTAAGCGGCTTCGTCAATCAGACAGTCGAAACCGCTCGGCGCAGGCAGCGGTCAAGGTAAACGCTGATGACGAACAAGAAAAGGCTGTGGGATTTCAAGCTAACGTGGGCGACAGGGTCAACGAGGGGAGGGTACCCAGAGCGGAGGGGGGAGTGACGGAAGAAGCGGAAATAGTGTATAGAGTGCGAGCGAAGAGGAAACAGTAGAGACTGGAGTTAGAGGTGGACGGGATTTTCGAGGTGGACGGGAAAGCTTGCGTGGCGTACGTTCAAATGAGTGGGGAGTCTCGCAGGACGAGGGAAAGAGCGGACACAGACGAGGACGCGGATGACCACTCCTAGATTTACTAGGTCAGCTGCAGGATGAACAAGCAAACAATATCGCACTAGCCCGTGATTTGCTCCACCCTTAACTGCCACCGTAGAAGTTACGCTACGGCTCACCTGAATTGTAGTTATCGATGATTCGGATGATTAGGTACGGTGCGGCTCCGGCGGCCAGTACAGATACAGATTTTTATTTCGCCGAAGACTTGCCTACCATACCCGTCACGGCTGTTAGTGGGGCTAGGTAGGCGTTTCGTTAACTTGCTGGAACTTGGCAGCCGGACACGGAACACATCAACCCGCACATCGACCGCTTCGTCTGTAGGGAGCTGTGTCTGTGTCGTCTAAATAAGATGTATGCCGTCGGCTGGACGTTAATATAAGGCTATGAAGGGGCTAACTTATATAAAACTAGAATATAGAATAAAAGCCTTATTATAATATAGAGTGTTTATAGTAGAACTACTAGTATTCTCCTCTTATAGACTAATAGTAATAGTAATATTAAGTATATTAGTATTTAGTATAATAAATAATAATAAAAAAAGTAAAATAAATAGTAAGTTTATAGAAGGAAAGTAAATAGAATTAAAAGAATAATTATTTTAATAAAATAGTAGATTAATAAAAAGAATATAATAAATAAAAAGTAACTAAGAAAAAAGAAAAAAAGAAAAAGAAAAGTACTATATAAGAGTATATAGAGGAATACTAGATTAGGAGTTTAATTAGTAAACTTAAAAAGTATAGATTTTATTATATAGTAATAATCCTAACTCTTTTAAACTACTAATAAATTATAGGATTAAATAGTAAAAGTATATAGTATACTATAGAATAATAGTAAAAAGATAGTAAGAAAGAGAGTAGATTATAGAGTATATATAGTAATAAAGAGGATTATAAAAGGAGGGAAAAGAATAGAAAAGAGAGAGTAAAAAGAGGATATTTATTAATAAACTAAAAGTATAAATATAAAATAGAAAAATAGTAATAAATAAATATATAAAAGAATAAAAATAAAGAAAAGAAGTAAATAGTATTATATTAAATATATAATTATTATAATAAAGACTATATAATAATTAATAAATAAAAAAGAATAAAAAATAAGTAAATATAAAAAAATCTAATAAGAATAAAAAGAAGAATAAAAGAAAGAAGAAAGTATATTATATAATAAAGATAAATAAGTTCATATTAAATAAGAGTAAAAAAGGATAATATATTAAGAATAATACCTTAAAGGAGAGAGTAGTTTATTAAGGATATATATAGAGGCCTAAATATAGAGAGTATACTATAGAGTTACTAGGGGCATATAGAATCTATAAGGAGAGAGAGTATTACTTAGAAGGAGTATATATAAGAATACTATTATATAGTAGAGAACTTATAGTAAAATAGTAGAGAAGAAGAAGAATAATTCTTATAACTACTTTATAAGTACTTTATAGTAAGTATATAGTTAAATTAAAGTACTTTTCTTTTTAAGATTTATGAAAAGTTACTTTTTTATTATAATAAAATTAAATAAAACTTAAAACTATTATTAAATTAATTAAAAACTAATTATATTATTTATTTTTTATATAATTTTCTTTTAAAATTACTATTCTTATTAATTTAATAATTAATTTAATAATAAAATCTTTTTACTATAATTTATAGTATTCTTTTTTTTGATTTAAGTATTTAATTTATTATATATATTAAAATTAACTTTTATATCTTAATTTTAATACTAGGTTAAATAAAGTGTAGGTTATAGAATTATTCTATAGCTAATCTATAGGATTTTATTACTTCCCTACCTAATAGCGTATATCTACTTTATAGTACTAACGGCTCCTATCTTTCACGGGGCTAGAACTAATACATTACTATTCCGAGTAACCCTAGATAGCTAGTACACGAGCGAGGACAAGGACGAGATGAAGTTTACCGAGGCCGAGTTCCATGTTATCGACCTAGTAGCGGATTATTAGCAGTACCAGTTCTCAACGGTGGCTGACGACGAGGACCGGGGCGAGCAGGCTCCCGACCAGGTGAAGGTGTGAGGAGGTGCCGACGCGTGAAGGCGGCTTATAGACACTCCTGACCATATGGTTATTCACTAGGACTATTGGCTGATTTGAGTTTAAGTTCACGCCATGTTGTGAACATTGGTTTGTTATTGGATGCTTAACACTTTTAACGCTTCCTACTTACCCTCCTGGGATAGCGTAGCGGTGAGCAGCAGCTTCCAGCTTTGATATTCTTCCAAGCGGGTTGCCAAAGCTGCGCAAGAATCCGTAGACCTACGACCGGCTGTTAAGGTAATCATTAGGGAAATCTTGTCACAAGATTGACGAACTCTCAGCCGCAGTGGAATTCTTCTCCACACGTAGCTCGATGAGGCACGCGGTCCTCTTTGCAGTGACTCTGCTGGTGCTCGTGATGGCGCGACGTGGTGTTGAAGGAAAGGGATACCATCGACCGCTCGGCGAAGGAGTGCAGTGGTTAGTATCATAATCAGGCCCGGCCCGCGCTGGACGTGACTGTCAAGAGTTGCCCTGCGAGGCAAACCTTAAATTGAATAGTCTCGTCTAACTGCGAGCTCGTATGTAGACGGGCCAGGGGAGGGCACTTTCGCAAGCTTTACCCACTTGGTTGATAGCAAAAAATGAGTCATCTAGACTAGAGACCACCGGCGTTGCTATATGACCGTTGTGTGGATTAGTGGTATCCATCTCTGTTTTCTTCAGGCTCGACTCCAACCACAGGCTCCATGGTCACAACGAGTTGCTAGATTGCGAATAAGTTCAGAGTAGTGGAGCTATCGGCAATCACTCGGGGATTTGGCAAAGCTGACATTGGAGATCACCAGAGCCCTAGATGACCCAGCCTCCCGAGCTGCCTCAGCTAGCCCTGACCCAGGCGAGAAGGAGAGTGCACGGTTGCGGCGGCCGCATGTCGTGATATGAATCCTGGCTATTACACGAGCAGACACTCGGCAGGAATTGGTAATCTTTGGCGGCAGATGATGGCGACTGGTCATGCGACGTATTTTCAACCGGGGCTTCTGGGAACTGGAATTACTATAAAGTTCACGTATAGACAGCATATTAATGATGATATGTACAATAGTATCTTCGCGCACCAAGCTTTATCAAACATGCTGAAATCACTCTCCTTAGTGGCCGCTCTCCTGCTCAGCGCAATCTCGGCCTCACCTACATCTAAGCTGTACCCTCGCGACCCCTGCGCCGGCAACACACCTACAACACGTTCCAAGTGGTGCAACTACTCTGTTGATACCGACTATACAGCCCAAATTCCCGACACGGGCGTCACCAGGGAATACTGGCTTGAAATTACAGATGCTGTCGTCTCCCCTGATGGGTTCACTCGACCTGCCATTGGTGAGTTTCTGGCTAAGCCAACTGGGCCATCAGGTGAAGTGAATACTAACAAGCTCTGTATTTCAGCCGTCAACGGAAGCATTCCGGGGCCGACGCTCATTGCTGACTGGGGCGATACCGTCGTTGTCCATGTATCAAACAAGCTGACTACCTCTAAGAATGGGACCAGCGTTCACTTCCATGGCATTCGTCAGAGAAACACAAACCAGGCGGATGGTGTTGTTTCAATAACACAGTGTCCTACTGCAGTTGGGGAGACGGAGACGTACACGTGGAGGGCCGAACAGTACGGCACTACGTGGTATCACTCGCACTTTGCCGTCCAGGCGTGGGAGGGCGTCTACGGTGCTATTGTCATCAACGGGCCTGCAACGGAAAACTACGACGAGGATCTCGGTCCGCTGATTCTGAGCGACTGGAGCCGTAACACTGTCGACCAGCTGGCCTTTTATTCCAAGCGCCACCTCATCCCCCCTTTCCAGGACTCAGGCCTGATCAACGGTGTTAATGTCAACCCAAATGGCGCGGGCGGCAAGCGACACACTGTTCAATTTAAAGCTGGGAAGTCATATCGTCTCCGGCTTCTTAACGCCGCTATCGACACGCACTTCAAGTTCATGATAGACAATCACCATATGACCGTCATCGCCGTCGATCTTGTCCCCGTCCAGCCGTATAACACCACCGTCATTGATATAGCTATTGCCCAGCGATACGATGTCATTGTTACTGCCGACCAAGGCCAGCGTGCCGACAACTTTTGGATACGCGCAATTCCTCAACTCCCTTGTTCCCTCAACAACAATCCAGAGAAAATCCGAGGCATTGTCTACTACGGCAATGCCCCGTCGACGCCGTCGACCAGTTCTTACGAATACCTCCCATCGTGTAGCGATGAAAGCGAGCACAGAACCATTGTGCCCCATGTCAGCAAAAGCCCCAGAGACCTGGCGACTGCCGAGAAGTCGTCCCAGTCCGTCGCCCTAGAGCTGCAAAACAACTTCTACATGTGGACTTTGAACGGCACCTCCATGGAAGTCGACTGGCGGAACCCGACACTCACGCAGGTCCTGAACGGGCAGACGGCATTCGAGAGGAACGACGGAGTCATCGAACTGCCCGACGCCAACGTTATGTTCTACGTCGTCATACACACCCTGCTGCCCATCCCCCATCCAGTCCACTTACACGGCCACGACTTCTTCGTCCTCGCCCAAGGAACTGGCGTTTACGTGCCCGGCATCACCCCGCTGAACACTAATAACCCGCTGCGACGAGACACGGCCGTCCTGCCAGGCGCAGGCTACCTCGTCCTCGGCTTCGAGACGGACAACCCGGGCGCTTGGCTGATGCACTGCCACATCGGCTTCCACGTCAGCGAGGGGTTCGCGCTGCAGTTCATCGAGCGGCGGAGCGAGATAGCGGGCCTCACGGACACGGGGGCGCTCGATAAGACATGCGCGGGGTGGAGGGCGTACCAGGACGCCAACGCCGTTCACCAGGACGATTCTGGTGTCTAGATTGGTGCTGTGTGGCATTAGCGGGGACCCAGCCCGGACGGGTGAACTTGCTTTTGAGTCACGTTTATTGCTTTCTTTAGTAGATTAGAGAACGGTTTAGGGGTTAGATGGGCATATAGATAATGGAGGAAAATTTACTAGAAAAAAAGGTAAAATAGCTAATACTAGTGAAAGTAAAGTAGGTAGTATAGTAGCTATACTAAGATATATAGTTTATAAAGCTAATAGATAAATAAAGTAAAAAGTAATTAATTAATAGTAATATACTAATAAACTATACTAGAGTTAATTAAAAATTTATATAGTCTTATAAAATAAAAGTAGAGTTTATTAAAGAGTTAAAGTAGAGTTTATTAAAGTAAAAAAGATTATAACTAAATAAAATAAATAATATAATTAAAAGAAAATACTATTAAATAGTATAACTTTTAAAATATAAGTCTTTTTTAAAGTAAAATTAAATAGCTTAATAATAAATTAAAACTAATAAAAATAAAAAAACTATTATTTTTATAATAATTAATTAAAATACTTTTAATTAAAATAAAGTATCTTTTAAAAAAAATAAAAAAAACTATTAATTATCATTGTTTATTTTTAAAAATAAAAATTATTTAAATAATTAAAACTAACGTCGGCCACCCACTTTGGAGCCAACCCACTTAGGAGCCACAAAAACGCGTCGCCACCCTCCCCCTCTCCCCTTTATAACAACCACGATGTCTCACACAATAATTATTATTATCGTCTTAAACTTTATTAAGATTAATATAGAAGCCTAATACACTAAAAATGACCTTTAGAATGCCATTTAAGACGTTATTAGTGGCGCTAGCCATCGAGAAGCTGTGAGACGCTGGGGAATCCCTCGACAAACACTTAGTGGCCGGCTTAAGGGAAAGCAACTTAAAAAAGACGCTTCTAAGCCAATGCAACGCCTTACGAGTGTTTAGGAGACGCATCTTAAGGGCTGGATCCTAAGCCAGGATGCCGCCGGCCTCTCTATGACACACAACTAAGTCCGAGAGATGGCTGGGAAAGTGGCTGCCCTTAATGGCGATACAAGACCGATTAGTAAGAATTAGCTATAAGGATTCCTATATTAAAACCCTAAGGTTAGGACCTTAAGAGATAAGAGAATTAATCTGAAGAGGATTAATGGCGCATTAACTAACGCTATTTAGGAATTCCTCCGCCTTTTAACCCTACTAGCACTTTATAACATCCCTCTAAAGCACTAATCTAATATGGACGAAACAGGGCTAGTAATAGGCTAGTGAGAGAACGGCTTAATACTAGGGTTATTAAAGAAGCGAATCGTAGTGAAGAAGCAGTCTAGGCTTTAATATTAGACTATAATTATTAAGTGCATCTTAGCTACTAGGAGGAAGCTTAACCCACTAGTTATCTTCTAAGGTAATAGTATTTAATAGTAATACTTTCTAGATAACCTTAAACTATACGCTCACTAGTACTTTAAGGCTATAAAGAAGGGCTGGATGAATGATAATATCGCCATTCACTGGCTAAAGACGGTCTTTATCCTAGAAACGAAGCCACACCTAGGAAGCCGCCGATTATTAGTTGTTGACGGCTATAGTAGTCATTATATAACTGAATTTCTATAGGAATGCTACTAGCATAACATTTTTATCCTATTCCTGCTAGCACATAATAGTCACGTTCTTCAGCCTCTTAATGTGGCCGTCTTTAGCCCTGTGAAGAGGTATTATACAGCCCATCTTGGCGCCTATCCTACTATCGCTGATTCGTCGCCGCTGGGTAAGAGGATTTTTCCTAAGTGTTATTTAGAGGCATGGGAGCTTAGAATCACTAAAGAAAATGTTCTTACTGGCTGGCGGGCGGCAGGACTTTAGCCTGTTAATATCGTGAAGCTATTACTTAGTCCTTTACTTCTTTCTAAGGCACCACAGCCTCTAGGCACTTAAAAGAGGCCTTAAACGCCTCTAATAAGCCAGATTATTAATATATTAACGCTATCTAACGCCCTAGGCGTTAAGAGGCTTTTTTTAAGCCTTAAGCGTACTTAAAAAACGTCCCCTATATACCGCCTAATTAAGTAGAAGATACAGAAGGGTCTTAATGTATAGAATAGTATTATTATTATATTAAAGATATAGATAAATAGTATTTAGGAATAGACTATTAATTTATAAACTAAAAAGTGTAAGAAAGTTATACTTAATCTAAATAACGTGTTTATTAGAGTCTTTAAGGTTAAAAAGGTATATTACTAGCTTAATATATAACTCGTTAGTATAGAAGAGAAAGAAATAATTAATTATTCTAATACTAGGATCTCTAATAGTAAGGCTATTACTCTATAATTATTTAATAATTAATTAATTTTATTTATAGTTATTATAAAGCATTTTAATAATAAGTCTATAATCTATAATAGTAGCTCCTAAGTGGGTTAATATTATAAACAGTTAAGAGTAATATAGGGCGGCCTAAGAAGGAGACTAGGTGGGACGCCTATAGGACGCCTAATTAAGATAGGAAGTTATATAACTATAATAGGCTTATAAGAGTACTATAAGCTAGTGAGCTAAGAGAGGATTACAGCCTTAGTATAAGCTAGTAATCTAAGGAATATAGTAGAGAATAGGATAGATATATAAAGAAGGGGATTTCTAGTAGATAGTTAGACTAGATCTTTACTAATTAATCTAAGTAATAGTTCTACTATTAGGAGTAACCTCTTAATATAACTTAAGTACTATAATATTTACTTATATACACTTTATATATACTTATTTAATTCTTTATTTATAAAATAAATATACTATAGACTAAGATTAAGTTATTATTATATTTTAATTAGTTCTATTTAGTAAGTTACTATAAAAAACCTTAAGTAGATAATTAAGATATTAACTATAAGTAGACTTACTAATAATACTTTTAAAACCCTTTAGAAACTCTTAATAAGAATTAAATAATTTAAATAATAATAATAAAGAACTCTAAAAGTATATAAATAGATACTAAAATAAAATTAATAAGTTAGATAATAAAAAGGATTAGTTTATAGAATATTTTAAGAAAAAAGAAGTAAAAAATCCAAGTTCTTAAAACTAAAAACCTATAATAGATATAAAGGTAATATAAAGAACTTCTTTATATAAACTAATACTTACCTCTAGGTTAATAAAGGAACTCTTATTACTATTAAGAATAAGATCCTTTATATTAGTAACCTCTTAACTAGAAAGACTATAGAATAGTAGGAACCTACACTATAGGTATACTTTAAGTATAGTACTAAAGCTAGAGCTAATATAATATATATTCTCTTAGACTATAAGACCTTTAAAGAAAGACTCTTAAGCGCCTTTAGTAATCTAAATAAATATAAAGAAGCTACCTAGTAGCTTACCTATCTTAGGTAGACTAGATCTACTATATACTATATATAGGAATTTACTATATACTATATACTACTATATATATACTATATACTACTATATACTATATATAGGAATTTAAGTGGATTATAGTTAAATTAAGTTAAAGTAATAAGACTATAATAGAGATTTTCTACTAAGGGTTAAAAGAAGAAATAAAAGATAATATCTACTAATTAGATTAACTAGCCTTATTTAATAATTTTATTTAAGAGGTTACTTACTTCTATAAAGAATATTAAAAAAAGAGAGGAAGAATAAACTATTAAGACTATATAAAATCTAATAATAATAAACTAAACACTAATAAACTATAATAAACCTCTACTACTTATAGTTACTATATAAGACTAATAGAACTTAATACTATAAATAAAGAGAAAACTAAGACTTACTATAACTATAGTAAAAAAAGACACTTTATAAATAAGTATTAAGCCCTAAAGAAGTAATAAAAGTCTATAAGAGAAAGAAAGAAGCTTAATATAGTATATTATAAAAATATACTTATATATAATATTAGTATAACTAATAATAAAGAATACTTCTCTAACACTAATAAATAGGCTTATTATAATAAACCTATATTAGATAAAGACTAGAACTTTAGAATATAACTACTACCTAAAGAAGAAGATTAAGAATATAGAACCTAACTATAAGTCTATATATTAATACTAGAATTAACTAAATAAAAAGACACTAAGTATATCCCTACTACTCTAGAAGAACTAGAATCTACTATAATTACTCTCTAGAGAATAGATATATTTAATCTAACTATACTCTTTAATCTACTTTACTAGCTAGTAGTAAAAGAAACCTACTATATTAAGGATAAAAACCTATATACTATCTATACTATAACCTTATACTAGAAGGATAGAAGAAACTATATAATAAAGAGAGACTTATCTTACTTAAGTCTAATTAATATAAAAAGTAAGTAACTAGACTATAGTCTAACTCTTATAGAATAGTTAGAAGACTATTACTAATATAAGTATAAAGAAGAATATATAAAGAAAGGAATAAACTAATACTAATAGAATAAATAGTTATTAGAATAAATAACTAAAGAAAAGGCTAAAGGATTAAAAAATAATAATTATTATTACTATTAAAACTAATTTATTAATAGAGATTTAATAAGTCTTTATATACTATAAATATTAATAATACTATATACTTTATAGTTAATATCCTTATTAAAGAAAAACTAATCTAAATAATAATTAATAGTAAAGTATAAAGAAACTATATTTTATTAAATCTTATTAATAAATTATAATTACTTTAAAAAAAGAAATATAAACCTTACTAACTTATAAATATAGAAAAAGAAACTATTAAGTATAGTTATAAAATAGTAGATTAAGAAACTATATAACTTCTTATATTTATTTAAAGTATAAACTATACTCTCTTTTTAGATATTATAAAGATCTTAAAATATAATATTATATTAAGGTGTTACGAATGCTGCAGGACGTGCAGGCGGGGCTGAGAGAGGC